CCCCCCCGTTTTTCTTCTGATTTTGTCGATGTTTGGTGTGAAACTTAGAAAAGGTCCAGGCAGCCTTGTACCTTTATCATAAAAAGTTTACGTTCTGTTGCTAGTTGGTGAGGGTTCCTTATTTTAAGTTGTTGGTGAATAAAGTTGGTGTTAATGAAGCTACTTAGTTAAGACATTGCAGAAGGGGTAGCTGCTGACCACTGTGGTCAGTTAGATGCTTACAACTTAATTTCTCTGTGGAATGTTTTTGCTGCACCATTTGTGTAAATTGTGAAGATAGAGGAATAATAGCTAGATTGGTCTGACATAAAGACTGATTTCTACACAAGATGAACAAGTTAAATGCCTTAATTTTAAACACATGGTAAAAGAAGAACCTGTACTCTCTCCTGCAAACCTAGGGTTATTTTATTACTTTCCAGCATTTGGTGATTAGAAACTTAGCTGATTTTTATGGCTGAGGAAAATCAATACAATGAGAAAATACAATAGAAATTTTAAAATACTTTGTATTTGAAACGAATTCTGCTTTTTACATATCTCCAACTGAACTCTGAGTGTGTGATTAATGGTTTATGTTATTTTAACGTGTTGTGATAAAAATACAGAAATTACTACTGTTTTCTTACTTTTCTGTGTGAGCTCTTTACTTCTGCTCTGCCTGAACTATGGACTGGTGCCTTGTCCTGAAAGAGTAGTCCAGGGAAGCTGTTGGAAACATTCAGGGGATTCTAGCCTGGCTATATGAGCCATTCTTTTATTGTGGGTTTTGACAGGATAATAAGCTTTTAGAAATAAAAATTATAGCATTCCCCTTCACCCCATCCCGAATTGCTTTTACATTTTGTGTGTGGGTGATGAGTTCTCCAAATATTTTCCACAATGGCAAAAAAATGTGGAAAAGAAAAATTTCAATGGGTTCTTAAACAGTCCTGTTTGTGACAAGCTATTTTTGGGTGTTGTAAAAAGACTAGCTTGAGGTACTCTTTGTGTTGATAATAAAAAATTCCAAAATAGAGATACCATCATTCTTAAGAAAAAGTGAAGATACTTGCTTACAGTTGGAGTCAATCCTCTGTCTTCACTTTTGAGTGAAGAGGTTTTGCACAGCTCTGCATAGGCCTTCCATCAGGCTGTGTGCCTTGCTACCTATTCCTCCTTCTCTTCTGTGCAAAGTGGAAGTTTTACTTGTTCTTCCCTTTCTTGGGCTTTCTCAAATCACGGTGTTCTGCTCTGCCTGTGAGGACACTTCTGTTGTTAAGTATCTCCTCTGGCAAACCCTCTATAGCCTACTCTGCAAAGACTCCTTGATATTTTGTTTGCTCCTTAGCAAAGGACTCCTGACAGGTCTGTCCTGTTTAATCATAGGAGCCTCACTGAGGAGCTACCAAGGATGATTTCTGTCAATCCTGAGCACCTCATAACTCAAAGAGCAGGCTTTCTTCAAGGTGATAGACTTCTTCCGTAAGTTGATGTTGTAAATGTTCTGAGCATGAGGGATGCTGCCAGCTGTTACTCTGATGCTTGCTCCTCTGCTGGTATCTCCCTGTGCACTCCAAATCCTGGAGACTGGTCTTGTTCTTGAGCTATTGTCTCAAAGGTGGTGTTTGGCTCTCTTGTTTAATTCTGTCCCACAGCAATTTTCCACAACTGTTAATTTCTCCAAACTGTTGTATAATCCTGGTCAGTCAGATGACCCACAGTATGCCAAGCCTTTTCATGAGCTGTCTTGAAGACGTTTTCACAGTAAGTTGTGCAACTGTATTGTTATTGTACCAAAGAAAAGAGTCTTTGCCATTTGAAAATCTGAACTGCTCTTTCATGCTTAAGAAAATAACAGAAGAAAAGAAAAAAAACCCGGTAGATTCAATAACCACATCAAATTGTCTATAGAATACTCCTATAAACATCTTCTAAAAACTGTGATCATCACTGGAAATAGTAACTTGCAAGATTCAGTATATTGACAATACCTGCCCATTAAGTCAACTCCTCTCAAAAAGCTAGCAGCTTTCCAAAACGCACCAGGAGTGCAGTGTACAACCGTGCCGTCAGACATGAACTGTACGTTTTTTTTGTGAGCACAGTATTACAGTTGTTCTTGATAATGTAAGGAGGATGATTCTAGAAGGTTCTTCATGCATAATAATAGGTGCAGTCCAGATATCATGTATGAATTTACTTTAACACAGAAAGAAAACCAAACTAGTCATACCTACGGTAGAGCTATACAGAACATCCTTAAGTTCTTACAGTGTACTCTGGAAGAAGATTCTGTCTTGAAATAAATATTTGCAGAACTGACTCTTTGTAGGATTGATACCAGTCCTTCAACCTCCCTGCATTAATCCAAAACGAATTCCTTGTGGGCCAGGGTTCACCAAGTGGAAATGGACTTTACCTAACATCTAAATATAAAATTTATCAATGCATCTTTTTCCCATAAAAGAATAACTGAAGACTCCGATCCCTGTGCATGTGCATGATAGAATGCAGTAGACTTTATTTATCACTCCAAATGCCCGTGTGGAAATTCAATGTTAAGCTACAAAGGCCACTGTGTGTTAGAAAAAAACTGCACAGGTAACTGGGAAGGGACAGATATTCTTGGTTACTGATAGAAGGGTACTTCTTACAAATGCCAAGCCTGCTTTTTGACCTGTCAGCCCTGATCTTCAAATGAAACCAGTAAAATACTTAAAAGATTCTGGGAGGTAATATTCATAACCTTACTGAGGAGTGAAAACTAGATAGTGTCCTGTTGCTGTGTTACCATGAACTGCCAAACATCATCGTTACCTCATTTTTCTGTCATTCATCCCTGGTTGGTTTCCGATAGCTCTGCCTAGTTATTACTTGTAAACTTCCTGGTTTATCAGCTGGTAACCAATTCCTTGCTCCCAAATACATCTACTATGAAAAGAAGTTGGAGATCTGCTGTCAAGAAGCAAGCGCACATTAGCCTTAACAGGGAGCACATTGATCTTAATAGTGATAAAGACATCGCTTTGTGCAGCAATCTGGATTTCTGTGCAAGTAGACAAGCAAAATGTTTGCCTGACATTTCCAAGAGGACTGCTCAGCTACTGCTGGAGCCACCTCGCCTTGTCTTTGCTTCTGTTGCCACTTTGATATAGCCCTGGTTTTGTAAGTTTCACTGATCTGCTTCATGTTTTCTTCATTTTTATCTCATAGCCTACAAAACACATTTACTCTAAAAAAAAGAAATAAAGCTTCCAAAATAGACTCTTTTGTTGGATGTAATCCAACATTATTGGGTTATAACATAAGCTATGTGAAACTAGGACTATAAAGTTTACTCTGACTTTTTTTTCTGTCAATAACAACCTTCAGGATCACTGAAGTGTCTGCATGTCTGGCTGCTGAACACCTTGTACTCCTCCCTTTAGCCAGTTATCACAGCGGCAGCTCTTTGAATGAGGAGATAGAGTGAGTGTTTGCTGATTCCTCTTTCTTCAATTAGTCAACAGTTTTAAACAAGAAAAAGAGCAACAGCGTGGCATCTGTGCGATTTTCTAGTTGTTCTGCTGGTATAATGAAAGTGAGAGTTTCAATTAGGGAACCTTATTTTGTGTGTGATTTGTGATTAAATTAATGAAGACAGGTATATTGCTTAAGGGGATAATTAAAAGGGACATCTGGATTGTATAAAATTTCATCTTTAGGACAGTGTTGTTCCAGTATATTATTGACACTTTGTCTAATGTTTAAGTAGTTCAGTAGTCTTCAGTTTGTTTTATGTACTGGTGTTTGCTTTTGGTTCAGTTAAGGCTGTTGGAAGTAATTACAGTGAAACCCATGCTAGTTTGAATGAAGAAGAGCTGAAGGTAAATCCAAGCCAGGAAGGCTGTACCACTAAACAGAGACATATGGGATTTTTAGCCATACATTCTTCTTCCTTCAGTAACTATTTATATATGCAGTTCATATGTCCAGTTCCATCCATAACTGAGAAATTGTCTGCACTGGTGGAGACTGAGCTGTCACGCAGCACTGTACTTACAAGCAATGCTTTTGACTGCCATCTCCAGCTGCCTTACAGAGCAGCTTTACCTGACAGGAGATGATGGCCTGGCTTCAATTGGATTTTTCCCTTCTGCTTCATAGCTTGAATACACCAATGCAGCCAGCCTGTTAATAAGGTCACTCATTTGTACGAAGTTTTAGCTGGTAAATTACATGCTTATCAGATGTGCCTATGGCATGGTTCACATAACTTGCAGCAGGAAGTCTTTGCCTTTCTGCTCTGGCTTCTTATAGTTTCTAGAGCTTCAGGTTGAAGATCTGAGTCCTTTATCTTTCACATACTTGCTGGCCTGAGTGTAACACAACAGAAAGATAACAAACAAATCTTGAATAAGAACCGCGGGCTGCAGGTTGGATGCAACAGCAAGGATGATAAAGCTTGTTTGGGCAGTGTGTGGAGCTCTCCCAGGGCTGCTCTGGGCACTGCAGTGAAGGTGCAGAGAAGCATTTGCTTCAGGTGATGGCAGGTATGCGTTTTTTGTAACCGGAATTCTTCATCGTAAATGCGCAGCTGTATTTACACTTCAAGTAAAAACTGAAACAAAGCTTTCTGTGTGGAGGTGGTAAGAGGCATCAAACAACCTGTGACAGATGTTGGAAATATTGCTTACAGCAGTGTGCTGCTGGGAGGCTCTCTGCTGTCTTCAGAGAAGCAATACAAGAAGCTCAGCAACTTCAGGATTTTCAGTACAGTGTCTTTTTGCCTTTAAAGGCATTATCTGCTCGTAGTTTTGTAGCAACCTTGTGAATGGTTGCTTTAAGTGTGGGGTTGGCTGTTGGAAAATTATGCTGTATAAATGGCATTGTTTGTTGTGGTTCAGTGGTTTTCATATCGAGTTTGTTCAGTTTTCAATTAAGATGTGTTTTTTTTTCTAGCTCTCAGCCTTCTAAGCTTGGCTTGCCTTTTCAGAATCAAGCTGTGTTCTTGGCTCCAGAAATTTCTTTGCAGATTAAAGTTCAAAAGGCTAAGTCTTCCTCTAGCATGATTTTCATGCCGTCTGTGATACAGTGTCAAACCGAGTTACCCAGGTTGTTCCACGAGTGATCTTGCAAATGGAATTCAAGAGCTCTGCTTAGCAGCAGATGTACTTCTAATTCAAACTTATGCTATTTTTCTTTTAGACCAAGAATAGCAAAGAGTAAACCAAACCAAATTTATATAAATTTTGCCAGTTAAGAGTGAATCAAATGCTTTTTTGTTGTTGATTTCCCTCCAATAAAATTGCATGTTTTAGACGGTTCTCAGATCAGATTTTTACTTCAGTCCTTTGCTGTCTCAGAAATAGACAATTGGAAGCTTTAATACAGTAACAAGCATGAACAATAAAACCCAAACCAAACTAGAGTTGAAGGATTGTGTGTGAGATACAGAAAATTTGGTAACTGTTAATGCTCTCTAAGGCTGATATCTGTGAAAAGTTCATCTTGTGGGATGGTGGTATGGAAGGTTAGACAAGAGAAGCAACTCCAGGACTGTGATTGTATACAGAGGCCCTCAAGATCTTAAAATGTCCCTTCCATAAGTTAATCTGTACAGTGACTTAAAAATATCCCGTTCAGACCTGAGTCTAGAAGAAGGCTGATCATTTAATACTGACACTTGCAAGTTTAATAGAAATTCCAAGTGAAAAATTATTTCATATGTACTATTGATGATCTTACAAATTCAGAATAATTTTCCTTTCCTTTTCCTTGTTGATTTGCAGCTGCTGTTGGCTTTCTGACAGTTTCCAGCGTCATTACCATGTCAGCCCCCTTCTTTCTGGGGAAAGTTATTGACATTATTTATACAAATCCCAGTGAAGACTTCACTGTCAGCCTGACCAGCCTGTGTGCCTTGCTGAGTGGAATCTTTTTATGTGGTGCTGCTGCTAATGCTACTCGTGTCTACCTCATGCAGACTGCAGGTAAAACCAGAAGCAAAAAGTGGTGCTGGGAGTCATCCTTTTTCACAGAGTCGGGATATCTAATGATCTGATATAAATTCTTGGCATTGGCTGAGAGATCCTCTTGGAATCAGTAGCTTTTTTTACCAGATCAAAGGTAAACTAATAGTGCAAAGATAAGTACACTGGAGTAATTGTTCATTTTTATTTACTGTTACATGACATCTTAAAGCTCACTCTATTCCGATGTATTAAAACTCTGTAATGTGACTTGTTCAGTGCTGCATAATCGTGTGATTTTTTTATATTATTGGTGTCTGTGTAAAGGCTTGCGTGCCGTGCTTGACTGACTTCTGTTTCTGACAGGACAAAGAATTGTGAAGCGTTTGAGAGCAACTATGTTCTCCTCTATCCTGAAGCAAGAAACCGCTTTCTTTGACAAGACCAGAACAGGAGAGCTGATAAACCGTTTATCTTCAGATACAGCCCTCTTGGGGCGTTCAGTGACTGAAAACCTTTCAGATGGGCTCAGGGCAGGAGCGCAAGCATCTGTGGGGGTTGGAATGATGGTATGGTGGTCTCTTCCCTGCTTATGGCTTCTGTAGTTTCAAATTTGTTTCAGTTCTGTGAGGTAATGTGTGAATGTGATTCAGTCCAGAAACTGTTGTGTATTCTTGAATACAAGTGTATTTCACTGGTTATCTACAATAACTTTTATGTACTACATTGCAATAGAGGATGTGCCTGCAGCCACTTGATGTTTACTGAAAAGCCAAAATACAGAGGATGAGGGTTTGAAATGAGCTACTCTTGCTGCCCAGATTTATCAAGTAAAGTACAGGAGGCAAATAGCTTAACTCTATTCTTACTGAAGATATTAAAATCAGTGATAACTTTCCCATGGTTGTAGGTAAAATAGGGAAGGGCCTGATGTAAAAGTCATTGAAGTGGGTTGATTCTGGCTGAGACCTAGTGAAAAAAGGCAGCACTGAATATCAAATTACTGCTGAGGATTTTTACAAGTGTTAGTCTTTCTGCTTTAGTCTGTCAGTAAAGAACATGTTTAGGTAGGAAGCATGTTAATGAAGGCTTCAGTGCAGTGCATCAGTTAATATTCCTTGGTGGTCAGTTGGTTTACATAAAAATCTAACTTCCCTTGATGTTTAACGTGGCATTAGTTTTGTTAGGTTTATCTGAGAAAAGATACGTTGGTGGCAATTATCTTAAATGAAAGTGTGATAATTTCTGCTGTCTACCTGGAGTTAAAAACAGATAGCAAAAAGTCTCCTCGTAAAAAATACATTCCAAGACTGATGTTCTTAGAAACTGTTACGAGTTTCCATTGTGAAGCTTTAAAGCTTTGATACTTTGTCACTGATAAGAATTACGGCTTTTTGTATTTGTCTAAGCAAATAGAGTCTAAGGCTTTCTCTTACCGGAGGTTAACTGGAATAACTGTATATAAGGCATCCTGCTCAAAAATGCTGCCATGGTGCAGTATTCAAAGGTGAACTATAAAAGCTTGCCCAGAAAGAAGATATTATTATGAAGTAATTATAAAGTCTGTCCATTAAGTAAATTTAGACTTTTTCTGGAAAGCTTACTGTGTTGAATACAGAAAGCAAGATGAAGTGAAAACGCATTAGATATAATTTCAAGTAATCTTATTAAAAGATTCTATTTACGAGCTTTGATGATTATTGTTGTTACGAGTGATAAAGTTTTGCAACAGTAAATGAAATCCATTATTCCAGGTTATGAGCATTCGTGGGAGTTAAGGAGCACTGGTGACTCCATCTGTTCCTTGGTTACCCAGAAGTACTGTATGATATTTCTCTAGTCAAACTTTCTGTATTACACCATCTATTTAAAAGTTGTGAAAGCGCTTAGAAACTATATAATAGCTTATGTCTTTCAGCATCCCCAAGAGATTTCCTGGTAGGTCTGTTTACTGGCAGGTTAAGATACTCGGCTAAGACCACACAGTGAACCAGTGAGAAAGCTAGAAATGAAATCCAGACCCCTTTGCTTCTAATCTTTTGACTGCAGGATACACTCCTCAAATGCTGTGGAGGAATGGACATTTTGCCTGGAAGAAATTAAACATGATAAATGAAAGCATGGCAGCACTAAATTACAGTCCTGCTAGTTTTAGAAAACTCTAGCAAGTGAGGTTGCACTTCAGTACCCCAGTGGGCTATTTTTAATCTGCATGCTAACTCCTGACACATACCTTTTTCTTTTAGTTTTTTGTGTCTCCTAGCCTTGCTGCATTTGTTCTGAGTGTTGTGCCACCCTTGGCTGTCGTGGCTGTGATTTATGGAAGATACTTGCGAAAACTTACTAAAATGACTCAAGATTCTCTTGCAGAAGCAACACAGGTAATATTTTAACAGACACTTTCTAGTTAACTTCAAAGTTGCTTTAGTGTATTGAGGTTAATATCTCTCAAGTTACAGATCTTCCGAAGATAATTGTACTGTTCATTGCCCTAAGCCATACTGAGCCTGTAGCTTTGCGCCTGAACAGTATGAAAGGTAAACTTCAGTAACACTTACTCGTAGATCTCAAAAACAACCATGCTTTGTAAAAAGCTGTCCATAGCAATGTAATGTGGAGGTACCAGGCCTTGAGAATTTGGAAATGTAGGAAAGGATAAGGAGATTAGGATTTAGCTGTGTGAGAGCATAAAAAAATCAACCTGTGAAGTCAGGTGTAATTTGGTACCTGGGTTTGAAAAACACTTTTCTTGGGCTATGGTTATGAGTTTGAAGCCATTAGAAGCATCTTAGGTGGATCTGTCTTTTAAGAAAACTTTGCTAGCAAGTCCTTCTCTGGAATGAGTCCTTGATGTTTGACCTTATTGTCAGCTCTGTAATGTTTATGAGGCTTGATGTTTTTTAAACTTTTTTGGGCATCTCAGCACATACCCAGATACTTGAGTGGAAAGTAGAGGAAGCAGTTGTTTCTAAATAGGCTGTTGTGGAGTTCATTGTGTTTGCAAACTGCACTGAAATATTGCAAAACACTATCAGAGAAATAGTAGTGACAATGACCTTTTTCTTACAGACCAAGAGTGGGAAAACATCATTAAAATGCATAGAAATAGAGTTAGGAAGGACCTAGTTAAAATAGCCACAGTTGTCAGCTGTTTTAAACTTGTGACATCCTATGTAGGACTTCTGCAAATTGACTGTGCAGAAGGAAGATTAGCCCTTTTCTGTTTATCTTCTTCATCCTGTGTTGAAGGGAAGCTCATGCCTTTGTAAACCAGGTGTGGGACTTCACATGAACAAGCAATTTTAGTGTTCCATTCGTATTTTCATGTTCAATGGGGGATGGTGAGAGGAGAATTATATTTTTATATTGTATTTTTATTCACAAAAGGAGACCCCTTTTTTTTTAAGACCATCACAGTGTCTGTAAACAACTTAGTCTAAATTGTTTATACTTGAGGTAATTTTAGAATTTATACTTTGCTGTTTAAAAGTTAAAATAAAATACTGAGTTGAAATGGGACATTAGCAGTTGAGATAAATTAATTCCCAGTGTTGCTTTGATCAAATGAGTGGAATTGTTTCAGGACATAACTGCAGGCTTTCTTGCATGCTTTAGTGTGGAGCAGAATAGTCTTTATTTATTCCCTCCCCATGTTGTTATTGCAAGTTATTATGATTAGTAATTTTCTTATATATGTTGTTCACATCAAATTAAGGTATTTTTTTAACCCTACTTTCATATTTTTCTTTCTCTGCTAGCACTTAAGGCAATCTTGAAGTTCTTTTTTAAACTACTCGCACATGCGGTTTACTTTTAACTTAAGAGAATAAAAAAAAAAAGAAAAGGGGAGTGGGTAGGAGGAGGAGAGCATGAGGAATTTTCCAGTAGTATCCAAAGGAATGTATTTGGAGATTAGTGTAGTGATACTGGTTTAACTTTCAAATGTTCTGTAATATGAACGTTCCAAATTGTGTGTCTGTGTGTATTTGTTTTGTTCTTTGCTTTAATGTAGTTAGCTGAAGAGCGTATTGGAAACATAAGAACAGTTCGAGCTTTTGGGCAAGAAATGGCTGAAATGGAGAAGTATACAAATAAAGTTGATTACGTGCTACAACTGGCTAAAAAAGAGGCGCTAGCTCGGGCAGGCTTCTTTGGAGCAGTAAGTATGTTTTGATGAAAATAAACCAACCACATGATGCCAAGTGTCAGTTATTTTAAAATTCATGAGGATGCTTATAAATCTGCAAATAAATGAACTGAGTGTAAATTGAACCTACATGAAACTGTGGGAAGACTGGACTTAAATCAGCCTAAATTGCTGCGAAACCGCACGTCAAGATACAGCGCTATGATAAAGCCAGTTTAAGCCTCTATTTCTGCCCCACACCTTATAGCTTGGTACTATTTGTCTGAGCCCATACCTTCTGTTCAGGGAACTAAACCAGCGGAAACCTTCCCCTACCTTTAGCGTTTTATAGGTTTGGCTTCCTGATGAGATGATCATCAATGCAGAGGAAGCAGGGGAGTGCCCAGTTCAGGGAGGGAGAGTGGGATTGAATTTTTCTGTAACAGCTTGCAGTGAGTTTGCTTAATAGTATTCTGGAATTGCAACATAAGTGCAGACTATCAATTCTTCTCCTTTAACGATGGTTGAGAATAATGTTTGGTGTTCCCTTCCATCTTGGTGGGGGGGGCGGGGAGGGGAACACAAGAAAGAGTTGCTTGCTTTTTGAGTGCTTGTTGGATAGCGCAGTGCAGTGGCACTGGGTGTCTGGCTGGCTGTTGGCTTGGTTTGCTTTCAAATTGGTTTTGTTCAAATTTAACTCAGTCCTCTAAAAATCTAGATAGCCACAGTATGGGAATTCTTTTATTACAAGGAAATTTCTGAAACAACATTTTAGAGGATGAAATTTAAGATATATCTGACAAAATCTGCCTTTTCCTCTTTTTCCTTAGACTGGCCTTTCTGGAAACTTAATTGTCCTCTCAGTCTTGTACAAAGGAGGATTACTAATGGGCAGTGCCTACATGACAGTTGGTGAACTCTCATCTTTCCTAATGTATGCTTTCTGGGTTGGAATAAGCATTGGAGGTATGGAATGAGAAATTAGATTTTCTTCACTTCAAAGCATTACAGTCAGTCTGGGGGTGGGAGGGAAGAAGCTTTTAAAAGATCTGGCTTTCTTAAAAAGTCTCTTCCAAATGATCTTCCCAAGAAATTGCACATAAATTTTTTTCTGAAGAGTTAATGAAAGTAATAATTTATAACTTAATATAAGCCTTCCATTTTCCCAAAGGAGTACAGAGGTTATTTTTTGTAATGTGTGTATGTGACATACATATTACTTTGATTTCCTTTGGGTCTAAGTTGAAATACTTGGTATATTGTGTAAAGAAATAATACTAGTATTATATCTTTTACAAAATATGCGGATCTGTGTTAAACATACTCTATTTTAACAGCTGTAATAAAATTAGCTGTAATTCAGTATAGAATGTCTTGAGCTGGAAGAGTAAACAAAGTGCTGGCAGAGCACTGCTAACCTTTTGTTTTTCCTTACTGACCGACTGCTCCTTGAAGCTCAGACTTCTTAATCTACTGGGCCAGAAACAAACTGTTCATCATTTTGACAGAGCAGTCTTCACTATTGCATGCAGACAAAAATGAAGATAAGGTACTTTGAGGTTTGGCAACCGATTGGGAGATGTCTTTAAAATGAGTCTGTTACTTCTGATAGACCAGCAGGGCAATGCAGCTCGTCTGTACTCATCTTTTCTAAGACTAAGCCTGGTATCGTGGGGAGCACAAAGATGTGCCTGAGGGCAAAATTCACAAAACCTGCTTCCTTGAATATCAAAATTCCAGAGGCACCCATTCCAACTACCAAAACCCTTTCTTCCCTGTTTAAATCATCAAAGTTTGGTCAACAGACAGATACCTGGCACTTAGAAAAGATTGGGCAATTTAGTGTTAAATAAATGAAAAAAAAAAAGGCTAGAAGCCCTGATAAAATGTAATTGAATTAACTTTTATTTGCTATAAAACCATCTTTTTTTGATTCTACTGAAGATTATTGAAGAATATAGTTCTGCACAGAGCTCATTCTCATGGGGGCTCTGAAGCTTGCCACAAGAGGCCTGCCTTCCTTGACATCTACAAGCATATAAATCTTCAAAGTGCTAAGTCTGCTTCCTATACGTCATCATCAATACGTAGAAGAGTTCATGCAATGAACTGTGAAGTTCACTGCATAACTTGGGACTCTGCTGCTTTTTGTTGTAACAGTTTGCTGTGTTTTCTACCAAACACTGAACACAGGTTATGAAAATTAAAAATGTTTTCTGATTTGTGTTTGCTGTCCATATTACATAATGCTTTTTTAATGAGTGATCGTGCATTTGCAAACCTCAGTGTCTCAATTTCAAGGCACTCTGTGAGGCTCATGCCTTCTTCCCTGGTGCCCCGCTCTAGAATGTAGGTGCTTCGGCTCTTTTTTTCTAAGCAGACGGCTTCTCACCTTGTCTTGCAAACTTTCAGATAGTCCTCAGTAACGGCGTGATGAAATGCTCTGTCTACACTTATCGACTCATGATCTTGTGCTGGGGTTGTTGCTCTGCAAGAATAAACCAGTAAACCTATTTTAATACACCTTGGGTTTTCTGCCCTCCTGACATCACTCTTAATGCTATAGGTATTTTAAGGTGGAAATGGTTTATTCTGTTGGAATTCAGAGATTTTGAAATTGGCTATTCTATTTTGAAAGACACACAAAAAATGAAGAAATAAGACATTTCATATTTATGGTTCTAGCTTGGTTTCTGTGTTTTTCATCTGGAAAGCTCATCAGACAAGCCAGCTTCAAGATGATTCACACAGATGCCAAGAGCTGAGATCCAGTACTATACGCAGGCCTTGTCCTTAGCTTTTGCTTTCTCCAGTAATGTTTGAAGCACACTGACCTGGGAGACGTGTTTCTTGATGTTGTCCATTCTTGACAGAGCTTCTCAAGCATCAGTTCAGCCTTAGGTTTTGTTCCCTCACTCCCCTATGGCTGACTCAGCCAGGCTCCACTGTAGTAGTACAACCCTGTCTGACAAAGAAGGGCATTCAGAGTGCTCCGTTCTACTGAATGATTTCAAAAATACAGGTGGTTGCATGCAAGGCTTTTTCTCTAAAATTAGATGCTGTTCTTCCTGGCAGATGAATGAAAAAGAGTTGCTTAGAGTATATGCAACCTTAAGTGCGTTAACATTTTCTTATGTTTTCTTCAGGATGATTTGTTTTACAGACATAAATAAAAATGGTGAATAAGGGTTATTGGTAGCTCTCAAGCGAGACTAGATAGGATTTAAATCAACATGTTTGATAGTGTGTTGGTGCAAAAGATCCCCTACATATCGGATACTTCAATGCTAGTGGTGAAAAGTACAATGCAAATTTTATGTCTCCTATCTGTTGGAGAGACAATACGGCAGGGCACAGGCAGTCCAGGAGGTTCCTGGAATGCGTGGACGACAGTTTCCTCCTGCAGGTGATAGAGGAGCCGACAAGGAGGGGTGCCATGCTCGACCTTGTGCTCCTCAACAGGGAGGGACTGGTGGGCGATGTGAA